TATCTCCGCCTCCCCGCACCGTGCCTGCACCATTTTTGTTTTTTCTCGTCGCCACAACAAATCCCATGATGCTTTGCAAGGACAGCTCTCACAAAGCATTGATATAGCAGGGACATATCTGCTTGTCTACTGACCATGGATGATAACTACTTTTTAAGGTGCATTGTGGGAAATTTCGATACCACTAGACGTTCAGACACTGGTATAAAATGGCGTAACCACTACATAGTGCCCTATATACGGATTAGGGCAAATGTTGGGACACGGTCCATTTCAACACAGCACAGTGACTATATGTAGCCATAGATTACAAAGTTTTTGACACCTGTCATCTTAATTATTGGACATACCTTGGTTTAACATGTTCCTTTGGTCACATTATTTATACATTATTTACAGTACAGTATATCAAAAACAAACTACTCAGTCTGAAGAAACATCAGTAAGATGTATAAGTTTCCTAGTCAAGCTTAGAAATTCTATAAATCTACTTTTATTTTTCTTTAAGGTGCTTTAGAGGATGATTGGTCTGAAACTAAACTGTCCACAATTAAAGGTAGCACTCTAACACCTAGATCTGAAAGAATTAAACATTCTCATTAAATACTTTGTCATGTACAAAATTGAATGTGCCGACAACAAAATCACACAAAATTTATCAATGGAAATGTAAACAGGGATATTTGGGTATATTCTGACCTGTGAAATTCTGAATAATCATTTTAGAGTTCTTTCAATGTGCAGATCCCTGAATAGGTCACATTGTACATGACTGCCTCTTTTAGTCCTTTTATGTGTGTATTTGCAAGTTCACACACACTCTAATCTAGAGAGCAAGGGTGGTTCTTTACAGAGATTTAGCCTCCGGCTTCATGTGTCTGGTGAAGATGAGCACGAAGGTCTTTGATATGTCACTACTGCTAGTTTCTCAGCCTTGTTATGAAAAATGCAAGCCTTTGATAGATCTCATTTTTAGTTTGCACTCTCCACTTTCTCTTCACTAAAAATTTCTAAAAACAAAAGTGTTAGTAGAGCAGCACTAATGATTGTTTGCAGATTGATTAATATGATGCTATTATTTCCTTTAATTGACTAATAATCTGATGGCAAAAGGTTCTTAGTTTTTTTTTTTATATATATGTTTTTAAGCCAGTGAAGCTTAAAGTTATGCTACTTGAATGCTTGATGGAGCATGTTTACCAGGGTCTTGGCTAAAATACAGCTGAGTGGATTATGATTTAGTCTTCTTCCTTTTAGTTCCCTAAAATAGCATTTTAACCAATGAGTTAAAACATATACCACCTTATTTTTATGTTGACTAACCTATTATTATACCCCTAGCTATAAATTGTCCCCAGCTGAAAGGATTTATTCATGTCGATTACTTTAGTGCAGTATGTAGGTAAGAGTGTGAATGAATAATTTATAGAAGCAGCGCTCCTTTGTGTTCCTGTCGTCCTTTCTCTTTTCTGTGTTTCCGTTGTAGTAAAGGACATTCCCCACAGAGGATAACTCCATATGTTGGGCAGGCAGCCAGTAAAGTTTTGGGGATTTTAACCAAAGGGACAAGACGGAACAGCAAGTGCATTAATTGCTTAGACTCAGCTTAGGTCATCCCTCTGTCCACATGCTGCTAGTGTTGATCCACTCATCTCATATCAGCTCAGGCAACATATGAGGCTACCCTGTGCTTTTCAATCGCAGGAAACTCCTCGATAGTTGGAATTGCCTTTTTTGCTTCCTTATGACATCACAATATTATCGCCGGGGGAAACAGGACAGGAAGTAGTGTGGGAAGTTGAAAAGGGAAGGTCATACGTGTCAGAGTAAGGGGTGGCTCCCTTCCTGTGCCAGGACCTCCTCTTTTACATGGGATTTAAAGACTAGTTGCACAAATTAGATGCTTTTACTTAAACTTGTTTTGTTTTGCATTTAAACCTGTAGATTTCATTAGGCATCCGTTGCAGGGTTTAGATTTGTAGGATCTTGTACATTGGTTTGTTTTCCTGTCTCTCTGGCGATAAAAGAGGAACCATTGGGTCACAGTAAGTTTGATCTGCTGCAGCGTTATGTTCAGTGTGCAGGTCTGGCTGCCATCCAGATGATTTGTCTTCATTAAGGCTCAAAGTTCTGTTCAAGGTAGTGTTTTTATCTGTATTGTCAGGAAGCCAACCATGAAAGATGCTGTGTATTTAACTGCATATACACATTGGGGTTTGTGTGCTCAGGTGCGTGTCTTTTTGTGTCAGATGGGCATTCATACTTTTAGTGACGGATGCCTGTCAGCATATTTGTATGCATTGGAGACATAGAACTCTAAACTATAAAAAAGTAAGACATTTTGTTGTATTTGCAATAGAGTAAACATTGACAACGATGTGAAATGCTGCTTATTCCTTCAAATAGCTTTCATCTGGTAAAACCTGAAATGTAAATGTACCATTTCTTGTCCTTTTCCGTTTCATCCTGGACCGGTTCATTTGGGCAGCAGTCTCAGCAGAGACTCCCAGACTTCCCTCTTCAGAGACACCTTCTCCAGCTATGCTGGAGGAAGCCACAGGCTCTCTCAGCCAAACTGAGAGACCTAGTCACTCCAGCAAGTCCTGGGTTGTCCCATGGATCTCCTCCCAGTGGGAGATGCCTGGAACACATCCCAAGGGAAGTGTCCTGGGCCTTCCAAAAAATTGGACAGAGGCACCTTGGCTGACTCCTTTCAATGTAGATGAGAAGCAGGTTGAGATCCGCTGGTACCTAAACCAGACCCCCTCGAGTCCTTGGCACCTAGAAATCTGGACCGGACCGGTGGAGTCCAGCGTGCACGAGGAACAGGTCCGACTTAATGCCGGCAATGCGGACCAGGCTTCTTCTCTGCTTGTGCAGAGACCGGATAGCCTCTAGTTAAGGGCCTCTTGCTCAATACTCCTGAAATGCCCCCCACAAGGCACCATGGTGAAATACCTTTTCCACAAACCACATGTGGACTGGGGCAATCACTTATAATCCCTCCAGTACCCTGCAGGTGGTATAGAGCTGTTCCTCTGTTCCATGGCCAGGACAAAAACCACACTGCTCCTTCTGATACCGCTGTTTGACCATCAGCCGGACCTCCTCTCTAGAACCCTGGCATTGGCATTCCTAGGGAGGAGTGTAATTCCCTTATAGTTGCAACACACCCTCCGGTCTCATTTCTTATGCAGAGGAACCACCACCCCAGTTTGCCAATCCATGGGCACTGTCCTGGACCTCCTTGCGATGTTCAGTCTGAGTTATGAAGAAATCACTGAACAATACCACTGTCCAACAATTTCCTCTTTCAGGGTCAGCAGCAGGGTCAACAGTGATAGCAAATCAGTGTTTTCTCCTCCGGAAATAAGTGCTTTCAGGCCATCCCATAGTCTTACTCCATGGCCTCTCCAAACTCCTCCCAGACTACAGTTTTTGCCTCTGAAACCACACAGGCCAATGGCATGCTTGGCTTCATGATACCTGCCTGCTGCCTCGGGAGTCACACAAGCCTACTACTGGCTTGTGTGATCCATAGCAGAAGGAGAGAACATGGCTAACTTAGACTCAATGTCTCCAGTCTCCTCTGGAATCTGAGAGATTTTTTTCTGCCCCTCTCTTCACCCAAGTGTCCAAGATATGAAGGTCAGAAGATACAACCATAAATTCGCTCATCTACCTCTGGCCAAGGGTGTCCTTGTGTGAGGTGCAATGATGCAAAATAATGAAAGACCACTTGGGTTTTGAGCTGGGGGTCTGTTCCTTCTGATTACACCCCACCATTTGTTACTGTGTTACAGAGGGGAGCAGTCAAACCCCCTGCCCTGTCATTGAGGTGACATTCCACGTCCCCAGAGCCAGTCTAAGAGCCATGGATTTGGGTTGCTTCTGCCTCTGACTGCCGCCCAGTCTTTACCCAGTCTGTGCCGGTCCCTCATGGTTCCCCCTGTGGGTACTGAGCCTACCGGGGATAGCATCATGTCAATCCTTCGGGCTGGACTTGGCGAAGTCGTACGAGAAAAAACCCGACCACCAGTCAGTCTCCTACGAATCCCAACTCCAGACCTGGGTGAGGTCCCAGCCCCTTATGACGTCGACATACAAGGCGACGTCACTTGTCCTGATTTTTTTGTTGTTGTATTTTTGGTTATCATTGGGGCTTTGCAAACCACTCTTTGTCTGACCTTTCACCCAGTGGGTGCCAATAGGGTCATCCAGTCATTGAAACCCTTCCACCACATTAAGGTGGCAGTTTAAAGAAGGGAAAACTAAATGTGATCAACTTTTTTTTTTTCTTCAATATCCCTATAACCTCATACATACGTGGATAGGGAGTGAAAATGACTATTTAGGATCTCTTCTTTATGTAACCGAAATGTTCTGTTTTCACTTTGTGTTCGTTTTTGTTGTTAAAAATTGTAACATTTTTTTTTCTTTGATAAGTAAAATGCGTGTTGATCAATCCACATGCTAGTTTTGTTTACATATGGAGTAAAAGTTTAAGAAAAACAAGCAATTAAAAAAAAAAACAACAATATCCCTTAAATGACAAAGTGTGGTTCCAGGTATTTTAACATGTACTATGAGTTGCAGTAGCATTATTGACCAAAGCACCACCACAAAGACTAAAATCTGCAGCCTTTTCTCTCTTTTGTTCTGCATCTGCCTCTCCAAGCTGATTTCGTTCTGTTGCATCATACCTGTAATATTAATACTCAAGGCAGGAACTCTAGAATGAGTGAAATGGGACATTTCTACACAAGGTTCCATTCACCGTGTAATGGTGTAAAATCCCTGCATGACTTCTTCTAACCATTGAGAAAGGAAAAAATAGTCATATAAAATCTGAACAAAATTTACACCCTTTATAATCGCTGCTTCTTTTCTCTCATTTCTGCTGTGCTCTCAGGCCACTTCTCATATTCAGATCTATTTCTGTGTGTTCCCAGTTGTAAAAGTTATGGAATATTAACACGTGCACTCTCCATTTCTTGTAGACGGAGAATGGGAGTGCTCTTCACGAAGCTGCTCTTTTTGGGAAGATGGATGTAGTTCGCCTTTTGCTTGACTCAGGTAGGTCTATAAATATGCTGTAATAAAACAACCAGTGTGCTTTTTATGGGCTTCAGTTCCCCTTGTTTTCTTTTTTATTCTAACCATCATTCAGATTTCCCACATATTTATTATTTTCTGCAGATTGTAGTGTTGTTTTTATTCAACTGTGCTGCATTCCTCAGTCCTGTCCAAATGTTTTATTTTTGGCTCACTACCTGTTTGCTCTTCAGCCAAAACAGCAGGATGTGATCTTTTTAAAGTAATCACCCAGTTGGACTGTGGAGATTAAATATAATAAATGACACAACGTGACCCTTAGTGTTAACCTCTCTAAAATGTTGACATGTGATCCAGATATTAGATAACAACAAACAAAGATGTGTAAAAACGTGTTTTTTGCGCCAAAGTCAAAACACCTAAATCCACATCATGATGAAACGATAAGCAGTACTATCTGGACCGTATTGTCCTTTGATCGTGCTGCCATCTTCCACCCACTTCCCTGCAGCGCTCCCAGTTTCCTGCAGGACTTCCTCTAAGTGGCCAAGTTCCTTTTGGCCGGATTTACAGTATATCAACATCCTGGATTGTTGTAAAACTGTGCTGTCATGTGCTGTCGTATCTGAAAATTTGAATATAATAAATGTTCTAACAGGAAGTAGAGACTTTTTTTAACCCCAGGTTCAACTTTGGGCGGGACAACAACCTTGATCATGCAGCCAGAGCTATAATAGAAGGTTTTAGATAAGAGGTCACCCTCTGGGGACATTTTCATGGGGAAAGTAAGCAAGTAACATTTTGACCCTTATATATCCTCCTACAAATCCCTGTCTGGAAAAGTCCATCATCTCCCTCTGCTGCCTCTGGCCCAGTTAGTTATTACCTGAGATGCTTGTTGAACATTTTTGGATTTTTTGAGGTATATATGTTGGAAGAGCCAGCAAAGTAACGCAGATAAAACCTTTATCCTAAGAGGGAAGAGAGAAAGTGAAACGGACCTGGACAGCGCTGCAGTAGAGTGAATCTTGGTGACCAGTACCTCAGACAAAAGCTTGATGCCAAACTATAGCAGTAATATAGACCTGGAAGTTATAGTAATGCAGTAATGCAGACCTGGAAATGTTATTGAACTTGTAAGGTCCATATGTGCTAACCTTTGTTAATGTTGTGACTTTATACTGAAACATGAAACATGGAGAGATTGAATTACCTTATTAGAGTAATTCATCGGTTTACATGAGAGGCTTTATTAAATTTCGCTGACTTTTATAAAGGTGACAGATTGCAGCAAAAAGGCGACTGCACATTGGTTTACATAATTCCCTGGCCACCTCTACAGATATTTTGTTGATATTCATTTTGTAGGTTTGAGAGAATCAGTGCGCTTCAGTTGTGGAGCACAGTTTACAAAAGGACTATATTCAAAAAGGTCCTGCAGGCGGAGTGTAACTTAAGAAAAATGAATTAGTCCTGCATTTAGCAGTTGTTGGTAATGAAAAAAGGGATATATTAGTTTTAATTGTTGGCAAGGTCTTTATTAAAAAGAGATTTCTAAGCTCAGTGAGATTTTCCTTGATTAATAAAGGTTGCATATATAAACACAAATCCAAATCAAATGTATATTTGTGGTTTTCATTTGAGAAAACATGTTCAGGTTGTTTGAATGTTTGATGATGATAAAAAAAAAGTGGAACAGGCAGAAAGTAGGAAATTAATAGAAAACTAAGACAGAATAATTTCTGTCTTAGGTTGAGTCTGACTATAGATTATTAAAGTTCAGCATTTGCACAGGATGAGTGGTTTCACTCAATTAAATAGTAAAATACGTTATTATCGCAAATAGTTTGCAATGTCTTATCTTTGATTGTCTGGGATTGTGATTTTCCACATATGGGTTTCTGTAGTAGTCCGTTTCTTCATGTATTTTTTGAGAATTCTAATAAAATGTCAAAATTAGATGGAGAAAAAATCAGTTCCTCAAAGTATTTTCTGAAGCCCGACTTGTCTTGCTTTAACAATATCTAATGTTGCATAAGGCTCCATCGAGGACTGTGTGATCAGTTTTACTCTTGTGAAAATGTGTTGCACAATCCAAACTTTCTTTGCTTGTGAATTTCAGGGATAGACACCAGTTTAAGAGACAGTCAGGGGAGGACAGCGCTGGAGATTCTCAGAGACCACCCAGCACCAAAATCTCAGCAGATCACTGCTCTTATTCAAGGTAAGAAAAACAGAAGAGAAAGATATGCTGATTTGTTCTACTGTATAGAAAATAAAGAAGTGTCTGTTAACGGTTTCTAGGTTTAGGTGTAGATTTTGGCTTCAAAAATGCCTTAGATGTCACAACTGCAAAGTTTTTATTTTTTTACTTATATTTGCTCAGAGATCAGTGACTGCTGTTTGCTTTTTATTGGCTGCAGGTGACAGTTGATTGAATTTGTTGAGTGGTGTGGACATATTGAGCCACAGAGCAACATACTGGCAAATATGACACCATGACCTTTGGAAGTGGATGTGGTCCAGCTGAGAAATCTCATTTGTTTTTCTTCCAGGAAACTGAGCAAGTCCCCACAATATTGCATTCATTTCACATTTCTTCAATTGTCTTGTAGGCTTTTTTGTAACAGCTATAAGATGCTATCAGTGAGGTGTTGGAATGTGCAAAGTAAGAATCAGTGAGTTTAAAATCACAATCAGACAAGGCAGTACTATTTAGGATCTATTTAAAATACAGTGAAAAACAATGCATCAACCACAGGGGATTGGTTTACTTTTTAAGTGGGGCAGGGGTTATGTGGTTTGGGCTTCTCTGTGAAGCACTACACTAATGCAAGAAGAGCTGTTACTGGTACCATGCACAAAGGTGAACACAAACACTTTTTTAAACAGAGAAAACAAGTTAACTGACTTTGCATAGGAGTAAATGGTTTTAACTAAAGCAAATTATATGGTTGTGTAAAAGTACTGTATGTCAGGCTGAAGTTGGCAATTATTACCTGATGTTGATCATATTCTCACCTCATAGTTTGTAACATACCTCACATTCTTAACACCACCTGGTTTATTTCACAACATTAGAAACATGAGCAGAAAGCAGCAAACAGAAAAGGTAGCTTGGTGCTAAACAAGCAGCCTGTGTGACTCTCAGAAACAATACAGCATTAATTACATTATTCAACACAGCTTCAAGAATTTCATGCTTTTCAATTCAAACCATTTTTAGTTGATGATGGAAATAATTTGTTTTTCAATGATCAATGACATTTCTAAACTTGGTGCAAACTGGGAAGCTGTGGCTTTATTCTCATGTTTACACTCACAACAGGGAGCAAACGTTTTATACTTTTATAATTATGCAATGAAATGGAAAACATTTAATTTTATCTTTATTACACAGAATATGGTTTAGAAAAATCCTTTATGTTCCCACATTGGGAAAATACCGGTACATTTCTGCCATGTTGCTCTATATTCAGAAATGTTCAGCCTCTGTGTCAGCTTTACATTTTTTACACCTACAATTTTGTTTTTGGTTAAATTTTAGTCTTTTGCGAGTGAGATTAGATTATTTTTGTGATACAGACATGAAGAAAACGATTCTTACAGCACAATGCTGCCAAGACCATGTTTCTCAGTCATATATGGCATCTACAGGGAAAGTTCTAGTTTTACTAATCACTGTAGGGTATTTTGCAATATAAGCCCTTAAAAGTCGTCATAAGCGCTGTCATTCTGTGGTGAAAATGGGGGAAAAAAAGATTGTTCAGCAGTTGAGTCCTGATTGGCTTTATGTTGTAAAGGTGTATGATTATTTGGAACACATTCTTTGACTAATTTTCTCGACAATTAAAATATTAAGCAGTAAAATGTGTGAACTTTTTCAGGCAGAATATGTTGTAAAAGCCAAAATATTGTTTAAAAACCTATTTTTGAAGCTGATGCTATATTAGTTTAGCCACAATTTGATTGGTTGAAATCCAGAGGTTGGTGGGTCATTAATTTGTCCTCTGGTTTTTAAAAAAGATTTACTTCTCAGTTGTTCTTTCTTCAACTATCCTTTAAAATTCCCCTTTTTGCTTTCATACATGTTTGTGTTTAACCATTGATTGCTAGTGTGAATTTTCTCTGCAGTCCAAAAATTACATCTTCTAAAGACGTGCATTAAAAAGCTATAATCGTGCGGCCTGGAGGCCGTCTCGCTCTGTCATTGTGGAGGCTAACGGGTGTATATATTGGGCACATAATCATCGCTAATTTAAAGTAAAATAGATAAATGCATATAGAAACGGAGAGATGTCTGTCTGAAGAGCATGTGTGGGAGCCAAAATCAACCACAAACGAGGTTTAATTAGGAGGTGAAAAAACAGAGAAGCTGAGCTCCGAGAATCTGATGAGCTGGCAGCAAAACTGATAGTTAAGCAGGAAAACACAATGAAAGAAAAAGACAGGGATTTGAAGTAACACGTATGAGAGGCAGGATACAAATTAAATAAAAACATCTGGTTCATTTGTCAGCCAGTTTTAATGCTAGGTGTCTTTGTTTTATTGAAAGTGACTTTAAAAGCATGAGTTTGCCCCTTTTTTTAAATAAAGTTCAGAAATAATTCAATTTCAATTCAGTTTATTTATATGGCGCCAATTCACAACACATGTCATCTCAAGGCACTTTACAGTTCACCAGATCATACAGTCAAATTGATTCAAAGTTTTCTATCTAAGGAAAACCAGTTGATGCATCGGCTCATTGACTGAAATGGAATCCCTCACACTAACCATGCTTGTAGCGACAGTGGAGGGGATAAACTCCATTTTAACAGGAAGAAGCCTCCAGCAGAACCAGGCTCAGTGTGAGCGGCCATCTGCTGAGGCCGACTGGGGTTCAAGGAGACACAGAGAGAGATACAGAAAGCAGCTGTAAAAGGCGGCAACATCCAGGAAACACACAGCCAGGCTGACGAGCTCCGAGCCAGCTCCCATGTCAGAGGATGAAGAGAGCACATCCAGCCAGTCACAGCCTGGGCTAGTATTTAAAAACTAGCTCAGCTGGTGCTAAAATAATAGTTGGAGCAATATTTACGGCGATGCAACCAATTGAACATCTCATTACTGAAGCAGCTCAGCAAGTGGCTCAGAGTACAGCTTCTTCTCCTTCACATACATACAAGTTGATTAAAGTGGCTCAGGCATTTGTTTTCAATGTCCTTTGGTCGTCTCTCCAAGAGATTATAGACAGCTCACCAGAAAAAGGCTCAGGACAAACTGGAGGGATTGTGACACTAGACTGAAGTCTGAACGTTCAGGTTTCCCCCGGAGGAGCTAGAGGAGATATCAGGGGTGTCTGCTGTCCCTGTGCCCTGGTCCTCCATAAAGTAGACAACCGCTACAATAGATAAAGAGTAAAATTTGGATTATTGTAAAATTTCCTATTGTTATGATGGAAAAAGTCATCTTTGCTTTAGACACATTAAGATGAAACATTCTCTGTGATTCAGTGTCGCTTTTTTCATTTTATATGCTTTAAAACCAGCCTGATAGACAGGGGTTTTTATTCTTAACACAGAACACACACACACACACACACACAAAATCCGATGCAGTGTTTCCCAATGTTCTATTTTTGTGCCCCTCCCATTGCATATTTACATGCTCCCTCTATCTGCCATAAGAAACAACTTCTCCATAACTACTGTATGCAGATGACACGCAGCTCTACATTACAATGAGATTGTGAGCCCATTTAAGATTTTTATAACAGTAGAGAAAAAACATAATGCATAATTGTCCCAAAATGTTCTCCACTTGAACAAAAACAGAACTGAAGTAATAATTTATGGGTTATCACACAGCCTCCATTAATGGTGGGAAGTGGTGTTTCATTTTTAACTTATTTATCAATACAGTGGAATCCGCTTATAGTGATCACGTTGATCCAGAGCCAATTTGATAGCTTCCGCATTTACTGAATTTTATTACAGTACCATCCACGTTTAATTACAGTATACTGCACTGTGGGCAGACATAACTCTGGTAGCCTGGTGCCGCATTTTTTTTTAACAAGTCTGAAGTTTGAAACAAACAGTACCATAGAAGATAACTGCATAGGCTACAGAAAATTAAAGGTAGGCTACGTCTGTTTTGTGTTTGTGATCTGCTGAGATCCCTTAACAAATTTATCCATGGTTCCCTGGATCAGAGTGTTGTCAAACACAGAGTTCACTTCTTTTTTAAAATGATGTAAAAGGTCAAAGACCAGTCTTTAAGATGCAAACTGCATTCCTCATGTCAGCTCTGGAAGGGACAACAGTCTCCACATCTTCCTTCTCCTCCCCCACCTGCCTTCGCGCAGCAATGCTACCCGCACCGGAGCGCTCTTGTACCTCCGCAATGATGTCCTCATCTGTAACGGGCTCCCTCACCGGGGTGCTGTCATCACTTTTGATCCACTTATTAAATATTTATGCACATTTACATTAATAAAATGGCCAAAAATGAACACTATAGGCGGATTTCTGGATTATTATAGTTAATTAATAACAGTACTATAATTACTATCCCAGCATGCACCAGTTGGGTTCCAGGGAGTGCATGGATAAATCAAAATTATAAGTTAAAGATTCACTTTTCTGCTGCTGCTGGTTGGCAAAAGTACATTTTTAAAAGGTTTGAGGCAAGAAAATAATACTTTGAAGCTTCATCGTGTGGCCAATTTACTGATTTAATGTGTAATAAAAAGAATCAATCATTGGAAACACCGTAGCAACCATTAGACCTCTGAGGCTAACTACTAACGGCTACAGTAGTCTTCTCTGCATTGTACCGCTGGTTCTGATGGCATCTTTTTTTTTTTTTTTGGGGGGGGGGGGGGGGGGGGGGGGTTGTTTTATTTGTCAAAAAATTCATTTTTTATATGTTTATCTGACTGTGTTAATAAGTTGTGAGTTATTTTCTTTTACTAGGGTATTGTTGATTATTATCTAGAGCAGGGGTCTGCAACCCAAACTGTTCAAAGAGCCAAAGAAAAATAAACAAATCTTTCTGGTGCTGGAAAAAATTAAAAAATCGTATATAAACAAGATATTTAAACAGCATTTGTATAGAGATTATTCTGTCCCACGCCTTTTGAACACTATAAGCGGTTGATTACTATATCCGTGACCACTATAAGCGGATTCCACTGTATAAAGCTTGAACAAAGATTTTTAATCAAATATGTTTTTTGTGGATGGGTTTTTAAATAATACATAGATAAATATCTAAAGCTGATCATTTTACATGACTCTTAATTTGTCTTTGTGGTATTTCTCAGGGTTAAATTCCGGGGTACAAATTTTCCTCCTCATACATTCTAGTCCAGCACTAATGTTAAACAAATGAATCCTCTGGGAGGGATTTTGGCCTTTTAATGTAAAAATGAACACTAGTCTACGTCTTGTCAGAAACTTTGACCATCAAACTCCAATCTCTCCAAGCCAGAGGTGGAAAGCCGTTTGGGCATCAGCATAAATGGGAGGCGTAATGTGTTTGTGTATTAGAGGAAGGAAGAAAGGGCGAGAGGGGGCCCAGCTGTGGTTGGGTGAAAGGATCAGCTGCAAGCCATTTCCTGTTGGAGAGGAGATGGAGAAGGACACACACATGCAGACGCATTGAGTCTGCAGCAGCTGAGGCTGCGTCTCTGGCACATTGTTAGGAGTGATTCTCGCTTGATTTGCAGGAAATAAATCTTTCAACAATTTTACTTCAATTACCTGTCAGCAACTAGTTGTCATTTTGCTGTAGTTAGCTGGATTCTGCTGGTAATAGAGAATCTATGGCAAATGCTAAAATAAAACATGACCAAGCATTTTATGCCTTTTATTTGTGACTCATAAGTAGATTCTAATACTCTGCATCAGAACTGTGGAGTTCTGTCCATATTACCAGAGCTCTGTAAGCACATAGCAGGGACTCAACAACCTGATTTCACCACGTTTTCATAATTAGCTGCTAATTTTGATGTAATTGTGATAATGATAAAGGCCTTGATTAATCTCTGTCTCATCCTCTCTCCGTGGAGCTTCTTTTTTCCAACTCTGTCCCTCCTCTGCTCTGTAGACAGCTCTGCTAGCAGAAGCTGTGAAGTGATTTTTTTTTTTGGAAAGGTGTGAATTGAATGCAGCTCAGGCTGTTTTCCATGCAGATGATTGCTCTCTTATATCGATCCAGGAAAACAACTGAAATGGTTTCTGTCACCCAGTGCAGCTCCTCCATCACAGTCACTTTTAGATGTTTGTTTTTTCTCTTATTGACCTCCTTCTTTTTCCCACCCTGTATCGATGTGTGTAGAGTACATGAAGAATGAGATGGAGGGACGGAGTATTTTAGAAGATCATGTCCGGATATGTCCTGTACCAGCGCCTCGGATCTCTATCCCTTCGCCTCCTGCCTCGCCATCCCTCCACCATAAAAGTAAGTTTAGAAATCTCTGTTTGATTCAAACAATTTATAGGAACATTTTCAGCTTATTTCTTATCTTCTACATATGTATATCTGCAGATTTCCATGCATAGAACTAACCACTCTGATGAAATTAGTTTGCAGCGTCATAGATCATCAACTGTATTTTACAGTGAGCCTCATGTGTAAAAAAGAAATTATTTTTCACACTAACACCCCTGGAGTGTTTTGCTATGCACTCATACGTGACTTTGGCCGTTTCTCAATATGCGTACTCATGTGTTCCTGACGCGTCATCAGCCTCAGTGGCGTTCCAATTGCAAAGAACACAACACAGAGAATGGCAAAGTGTTCTTCAGACTGACATATCCCAGCATGCACCAGTTGGGTTCCAGGGAGCGCTTGCGTAGCTCAGAATGATAACTTAAAGGTTCACTTTTCTGCTTGTGATGGTTTACAAAAGTACATTTTCAAATCGTTTGAGGGGAGAAAATAATACTTTGAAGCTTAACCATGTGCCAATTTACTGATTTAGTGTGCAATAAATAAAAAAAATCATTACTATGTTACAAAAAAAGGGAGGAGCAGTGAACGCTCTCACCACACGCTGCTTCACCCCCCTTCCCCACGCAGTTTAGGTTTTGTTGCATTGATGAAATTATAGAAACACGATAAAGGAGTCTTTCCTTGGTCGACGTGTTTCTGTTGGGAGGAGTTGATTGAGTCATGAGAAACCAAGCAGGAACTGACATCATCAGAGCAGAGCTCTCTAACCCTGGGCTCTGTTCGAAAACCTAGGACGCATCCTTAGAAGACCGGATTCGAAGGCCGATTACGTCATAGCGCGGCGCCGAGGTCTGGTCGGATTCCAAGAGTCCTCGTTATGCGGCCTTAAAATGTGTCCTTCTTTTTGCCCAATTTGAAGGATGGGTCCGATGTATCCTCGGTGTTCTTGGATATCCCAGGATTCATTGCGAGACCAAGCAAGCTGTGATCAAAGGAAAGGTTACTTGGCGCCG